TTTTCAGGAAATGTCGTTAGCGTTCGCAAAAGATGCCCAGGCTAATGCAAAACCGGATAAAGCTACTATCCAGAGGCTATTGGATGAAAACAGCCAACTTATTAAATTAATAATGCGATATCAAAGCATGGGAAGGTATGTAAATGCTTCGCTAGTATTCGGTTCCTATGAAAAGAACATACTTCTGCTACCGGGATGACCCGTGTAAAAAAACAGGTTGTTATGAGGGCACGGTTGGCAACAGTGAGGGGGTAAAAGGACGGGGGTGAGGTGGAAGAACGGGGGAGGGAGGGGAGCGACACGTGGACCGTTTAAAAAGAACAGTATGTTCTTTTATTTGTCTTCTAGGTCAGTTTTTAATGGACGTTTGAGTTAATTTCTGTATAGGTGGAACTGGAAAGTACAGGTTTGAATGAATGACCAATAGTGATGGGCATAGCACAGTAACAACTAGCACTGCTGTTGTGCAGAGGGTCAGTGGTTTGACTCTGTCCACTTTCTATGCTTCTTTCATTCATTTCGATGGTAAATTGGTACTGATGTATGCCAGAAGGTCAGAAGCCTTCACGCACGCCTGGGCCCCGCATAAGGGCACGTGGAAGTTTTGCTAAGAAAATCTCTAACTTGGGAACCAGGAGAAATGGGAGGCTGGAATTTTAGGAGGATGTTCCCAGCTCCCGTACAATTTAAAGATTTCAAATTCAGCTCTACCTGTTTCTGAGCAGCCTTCATGGAGGAAGTCATTAGCAGCTCTGCAGTTGTTGGTATTTGCTACCACTCTAACTCTTTTCCTGTACCTTTACTTTTCACGGAAAATAAATGCGGATTAGGCTTTGACTAGGAGGTAGCAAGACTATGAGAACTGAACTTTTCTGATTGCTAAAAAATGCTCTTTTTCAGGGCAAACGATGCGCTCCAGTACCAGCAATTGCTGCATCGAAATCTTGTCTATCTAGCTTCACTAGCAGACGCAAATGTGCAACAACAGCTGCAGGTTATCCTTTTCTATTGATTTGTTTATGTTTCTCATTAAAAATTTGGGCAAAAGTTCTTGACTTAAAAATTTTTTCAGTAAAATCAACCGCTGTTCAAGCTAGCGCAACGAAATCAGGTTCTGCCCTAAGCTTCTAA